ATTTGAATAACCTTTTGCGTCATGTGCGAAGATATTACATAAAGAGTAGCAACAAAGAACACACAAAAGGCTACCTGTAGGGGATTTGATTTGACGAAGTATAATAATATAAGTGTAATGCTTGTAACAGATTAAGAAATATCACCTACTACTTCCTGCTTTTTCTTTTATTTCTCCTTCATTTAATTTCGTTTTCATTAGGTATATGTGATTTTTGAGATTTTCATATAAACATTTGGTGTGCTTCGTAATCCATCACGAGCTTACCAAGGGCTTCCTATTATAAAATGGCTCAGACATTTTCCCACATTAGTCTAAGTAAATATTCTGCTACCTCTTTGAAAAGTCTAATTATCATGTGAACAACTGATAGAATATTCTAAAGATATCTTTAATAGAGACCAATTGAAGACATCATTGGCAGAACAGTTAAAGACAAATGGTTACTTATATAATTAAGAGAATTGAGTGGTGGACAAAAACACGGCCTCAGGCGGGAATCGAACCCACGTTTCATCCTATCCGGGGACGCGTGCTCTACCACTACACCACTGAGGCACATTTGCCCGACCACTCATTCTTCAACATCTCATTGTTAACATCATTCTTCAACAAATGGTTACTATACTTATAATCAAGAAGATAACACTGCGCATAGTTAGTCCAACGTGCTCTCATAAAAATTCTTCATGTTTGTGGCATGATTTAAAATCCGCAGTGAGGAATGCCATGAAAGAAAATGGAAGGACGTTGAACTGGATCTAGGTAACTGGTCACAAAGTCTAATTATCACAATAGGGTTCACTACGTGGGAACAATATCTATCATTTGAGACGAAGGAAAAATTTTGGAACGCTTCACGAATTTGCGTGTCATCCTTGCGCAGGGGCCATGCTAATCTTCTCTGTATTGTTCCAATTTTAGTATATGTTCAGGAATGAACGAGTATGATTTGGTTCGGCTTCTATATATAAACGCCACGCAACACTGCGTCGTATTACATGCGGGTTTATATTACTCCGATAACACGTGCTATATCCTAACAAGCGGACGCTCATAGTGTCATACCACTGTAATTAACATTGCGTACAATGCACATCATAATGATTATAAACTTCTCTTCACACCTCTTATAACGGAGGTCTCAAGAACTTAGTTCCCCGAGATTTTACAGCTTCACCTATTACCACTTGTCGTGCCGTTGATCGTCGAGTCATTCCAGCGAGCGCCACCAACATTTCCATCTTTCCCTATCGCGTACAGAGTAGCCCTAGTGGGTCGCTTGCTCTAGCGATTCGCTGAGCATCTTATCTTTCTTCTACGCTTCCAGGCTATCTTCTTCTTTATAGTGAAATTTTATCCTTCGTCTTAATCCCGTTTACCGATCAGTGATTAATAAATACTGACATCTGTACAAACACTGTGGATAGCCAGTAAGTGAGGTGTTCAACAAACATCCACTCGAGTGCGATTGGCCGACATTCAGTAAATCTGAATGCGGTTATGTGGTGATGATGTGAACTGTACTCTCCTTATTGCTGATTACACAACACTGAATTTAGGAGTGTCCGTTTGTTGAAATGTAGAGTTGTGTTATCATAGCAGTGCATTAAAGGCTCCCCATGTCGTGTCCAGTGTGCGCTTTCAATGTGCCCTTTTTGAAAGACTCACCTTCCCTTTGCATTGTAATTTCGTACACAAAACATGGAAGTATCTCAAAAAAGACTATGACTAGAGAACGGTAGACTAACCATGGACAGGCTTCATTTTTGAATGTAACATTGACGTCTTTAGTCCTTAAGTGTTATGATAATGATGAATCTCTCTCAACAACACTACAGGCACTATTCTTGAGGTATTCTTCTGATTTTCAACACTATAAATAGACCTTTTAGAAAATGACGGCGGAATATTTATTAGGACTGATCTACGAAATACTATAATGGTCCATTTCCTGGGAGGAAATTCTTAGAAAGCTTGTGACGAATTACGGAACACATCGAATATATACATGAAGAGCTCAAAAATGACTCACGATTGACGAAAAAATGATCGAAAAATGTGAATACTAGAAGGTATCTGTTTGATAAGTACACACCAAGTTGTTGTTATATCGTTTATATATGACAGCGACGTTTCGGCAAACTTAGCCTCCTTCAAAGGTTAGTGAGATCAAGTTAACTGCGATATAACCCAAATACATTCGTAACCTCACTAGAAAATTACGATATTCAAATTTGAATCGCCTCAGAATAAAGCCTTTTTCACACACTTGATTATCTGTATGGGTTTCCTTTCCAATGAGCATTTCATGATAATGCGCCTCTCTCCAATTATCAATGCGTAGACGATCGTTGTTTAACTCTGCACCACTACAACAAGCGTGCCTATCCTTCCGAATTTGAGAAACCCATGCTAGACTTGTCTGAGAAGCTGATTCCGATCTACGAGACGTAGCAGCGTCCTAGCACAGAGATCCCAAACTCCAGGGACTAGCATTTAGTAATATTCACAGAGAGGGTTGAGATCGTCAAGCAATCTACATACGCACATCTGAAGATATTCATGAATGATGAATGCAAAAATACGAATTGAATGTAAGAAGTGTTGGAAGCCACTCATTTCATAGTAGTGGGCCATGTAACATAAGAAAAACTCTTACAGAATAAAATATAATGAATGTTGTTAGTAGACAGAGCTATCCGCTGGAGGGTTACTCTTATGGAAAGCGATAACATAGTTGAAATACTTTCCTAGTTAACCGACATCACAGCGCACAACCCAGCAATGTCATCAGAAGATATGTTTTGATGTTCTTCCGCTGTGTTAGAAAGAAATAGTGCCCATCTTAAGTCTTAATATTCAACTTAATGTTCGTTATACTTTGTTAATACTGGTGTCGTATCCTTTCTCTATCGAAAAACCCTTTTCTGTCATCATTCCCTGGTTATTGTCGAGTTCTTTCCCGAATAAATCGTTTTCGAGTTAGTCCAAATGGTTGTTTGCAGCATGAGATTGGTTTATATCGTAATGATGTGCGTTGTAGATCATTTATTGCTAATTACACAGCCATGAGATTATGAGCGTCCTCTTGTTAGAAAATACCGTACGTGTTAAAGCACTAAGAAAAACCCACACAAAATACGATGCGCCATGACGGGTGTTTAACTATTGAGGCTCGCCCTCTGCTCCATTCCCCTTCCTGAACATATGCCTAAATTGGAACAACACAAAGAAGATTAGCGTGGTCCCTGGGCAAGGATAACACGCAAATTCGTGAAGCGTATCAGAGTTCTTCGCGTTTCTCGGTCTCACTAGATAGACATTGTCTCCACTTAGCAAATCCAGTGGCGATGATTACTCTTTGTAATCAATCCACTAGAACACGTTCAACTTCTTGCTGTATTCATGCGTAATCTTGATATATTCTTCTCAGGGCACACAGCTCTTTAGAATTTACAATTTCATACATAAAACATAAGAAAATTTCAACATGAATTTCCACGACAGGAAATTGGGCTCTGCACATCGATTCTTCTATAAAGGGCACCTTGCTACCTTTTGTCTTCAATTGTTCTAATAATCACGAATCTTCGCCATCTCCATTATAAGTTTCATTCTGAACGTATTTCTTCTAAATTTTTTAGATGATAAATGGACTCTTTAGGCAATGATAATGGGACATTTACTAGGAATTGTCATGACAAATTGTCTAAATAAGCGACTTCCTGAGAGAAAGTCCGTAAAAAAGCTTGAGATGGATTATATAACACGTCAAGTATTTGCGTGCGAAGATCGAAGATCATTCGTGAGTAATGAAAAATTAGGTAGAAATTCCTTTATCTCATTCCATCTTCCAATACTTTAAATACAAAGTCTTTTCCGCTCTTTTCAAACTTTTAGTAGTCGTTCGGTAGCTCTAATCTCATTGCTTTATCGCTCTATATGCTCAGACTTTAATTTTCAATTTACTTGCCAAATAAACAGACTATGAAGCCCAAGCTTCAGTTCAGTCTAAGCTGATGTGTGGAGTGCAGTCTTCTTTTCGCTCTTCCAATGCTCGGCAAAGACCTTTGCAAAAACCTAACGCAGCTTCAGAATCATTACTTGAAATGTGTCTTAATTTCACTGCTACACTCGCTCCATAAAGACTTTTTATAGAAAAACAGTGTAATATTATTGCCGAATTTGAGCTGTCGAATGACTTCTGAGAGTTTGAAAGCAAGATGAGGCCTTATAATCCAAAGGGTTGAAAAATGGGTTCAAATAAAGTAATTATAGCAAAAAATTATCATAGAGATATGATTCCGATTGAAATAATAGGTATTAATGCCACTTAGTATTAGCTCGCTATTATTGATCACACTTTTGTATATGAACTGATTAAAACTCATTTCCACCATCAAATTGGTATCTTTTTAGTGTTATTATCCAAAATTTTCATCCAAATGAAATTTAAGCTTGTAAATTCCTTGAGTTCGGATGACAATTATATACGCTATCGTTGGCCATGTCGCACGCCGCGCGCGACAGCACTTCGATTAGGTTGGAAAAAACTTCCGGGAAAGTTTTTGAAAGTTTCATTTTTTGACAGATTTGTGCCGTGTTTGATTGATAGTTTTTGTCTATATTCAGCTCCTAAACACCCATTGAATAATACAATCAGCGTGCATTCATTTGCGTTTGATCCTCCATTATTGAGGATACTGTTCAACGATTCTTGAAGCCGTCTATGAGATTAATGAGGGTGAAGGTGCTGGCTTGGCGACAAAACCGTCTGTGGGCTGGGGTTAAAGCGATTCAGATAAGGCGATTTTGATCTCGAAGACATGCCTCACTCAACCGCATACGTCCAAAAAGGCAAAGACAAGGCTGAAGTGTTGAATGGTGTCAGAGTTTTTCCGCACCCCGCCTACAGTCCCGACGTCGCTCCATCCGATTAGACTTCTTTGGATTAACGCAATACTTTACATATACCTAAGAGAATTGAGTGATGAGCAATAAGACGACCCCAGACGTGGATCGAACCCGCGTCTCACCCATACTACAGACGCATGCTACCACTACACCACCAGATATATCCGCATCACCACTCATTCTTCCATATCTCTGTGATACCTGTCAGCCATTAACCTTTGACAGGTTTCGTCGGCTATGCGATATCGCTTTATAAACTTGGTTGAGCTGACAGCCATTATGATAAATAATACTCGGAGTTTCTAGTGTTTTTACTGCAGTCGATTTAAATATTAAATAAAATCGAACAAGCATGTCAAGAGTTTTTCATTTCAAGAGAGCAAGATTACTACCTTGGGTATATTCGGAATCTTGCAAAACGATGGCAGACAGTCGTGGAAGAATGGTGGTCTATACTTTGAATAATAGTTATCGTTGCATGTGATCACCTAAATTTTCCTATGAAAAAATGTCAATTTCGCTATTCTGTTGATGTTGCTCTAATTCTATTCAAAGCATTGCTTCCAATCAGAAATCTACGAGAAGTTGGGCTGCAAACAGTGGTCTCCAGACATCAAACTCGATCTGCACTTCAAACATAACCTTGGGTTAATCTAAGATTCGATTTAACTGCTGCATACTTGTTCGTGAGAGCACATGTGGCACAACGCTTAAAGTGCTTTACGTCGCACACGTGGTCGATGGTTCGGCCCCGCCCTCAAGACTTACCAAGCTTTCCATTCCTCCAGGGTCTCTAAATTGGTTCCAGACTTTTACGGAAGAATAAGCAGCGCTGACTCAATACATCTGTAGGCTACCTCAAGTCACATGCGAAGGCCATATATGCGTTCTATCACTTTAAACGAAGTTAGAAAATCAAAGACGAATGCATGGCGCATCCCTCAGGAATTCATTAAAGCCAAGAAGGTTTTTTTTATTGTGGTGTAGCAGAGAAAATAGAATCATGAGTATTTTGTGGCTATAAAGGTGCAGATGAAAAACCGAGCTCTTTTCGCTGCAGAGGAACTTTTCGTAGGAGTTTTAGTAAACACTTGAAAACTAGACTTCAGGTTACAGTTACACTTTGTTGGTTTTTAAAAAAAACCCTTCATGACGCTATAAAATCCACACAAAACTATATCTCAGAGGCACGCGCATACTTCTCGACCGAAACAGAGCTCTTTCTTTGGACTTTTACTAATGATTCGATTGCGTAATCGTTTGTGATTCCAAAGATGTGCTTATATCTTGAAAAGACCGTTTCTCTAGAACGCAGCAGGTAAAATAAGTTGATTTCGATATGTGGACAAGGTGACCTTTGGCCAATTCACGTGGCGGCGCGTGAGGCAACCACGTTTCGATGAAGCAAAGATCATCCAATTTCGGGTGCATGAACGCGTAGAGAAATATCGTGTCAGCAGTTCTCGTGGGCCTCACGCTCAGGGACGTGATTGGTCGAAGACCCCTTGGCTGCCCGCGCAAATTCAACTTATTTTATCTGCTGCGTTACACAGAAACGATCTTCTCAAGATATAAGCACAGTATTGGAATCAGAAAATCATTACGCCTGTCGAATCATGGCTAATATTTCCAGAGAAGAGATCTGTACGGCGAAAATTATGAGCATCTGTAATGCAACAAATCTCTTCTGTAGCAAACTCAAAAAAGGGCTCTTGTGAAAACCGGTGGGATAGGGTTGTAGCCTGAAGTCTCAGCTTCGAATGGTTAAAAAAAACTCCTATGAAAAGTTCCTCACCAGAGAATGAGATCGGATTTCATTAGTCCCCTAATAACCACAAACAACCGTACTATATTGCACACTCAGTTCGCTCTGTTTGTTCGGCTGAAGTGTGGTGGATGGCTTTTCAGTCACCCTTTGTTAGCCTGTCGCTAGCTGAAATTACAAAGATTTCAAAACTAACGTTTAGTTTTCTGAAATTTTTACAATTAGAGTCATAAGAGCAAGAAGAATACGTTTAGCACACAAAGTTTTTCCGTACACGAGAGTTATACGCTCAAAGAGCATATGCTCATGTACAGAAGATTATTGAGCATCGAGTAACACGAAAAACCTGGATTTATACCAAAATGGAAAAAAAATTCCCTCAACTGAAAAGCTGAGCAGGGCGATCGATCAGCTGCCATCGCGAAAGAGTTAATCTCTCAAGTTCGCAATCGCTGTATCTAGTGAATTGTAGTCACAACATTACAAACCCTCCAATACATATAAATTAGAGGCGACTTCTTGTGGTTAATATTTGGAAATGTCTTCGACGGCCATTCTAATATACCACCTAAATCCATGCTCAATCAATATTCATGACTCAGCCTTTGAAGGCTTCGTAATCATTGTACAAATTTCTTTATTATTAGCTACAAAATCAGTAAGCAAACTTTATGATTG